CACATAAGTGTAAAATAAAAATATTGCGTCCACCTAAAATTTAAAAAGTAAATATTTTTTAAAAATGTCATGTGAGCCTAACAAAAATGTGTGTGAATAGAATTAGGTCTCTAGGCTGTTTTTGGTGTGACATCATCGACTCTCCCTGTGGCAAAGGACTGGTTAAGGGTGACTGATCTTTTCAACATCAGTGTTTTGCAACTCACTTAAGTCTAAGAGATCACTACCTCAGAGGTAAAGACAAATTTTAATGATAAATACCGTAATCTATGTATCTCTTAAAGAGTTTTCAAACATTTTGTCTTGAGTGAGCTATGCCATTAACATAGATCAAACATGTTTGTCTCTTTCCATGATGACAGAATTTATTGAATAGCAATAAAGTCACATGCTAGATCACTTTCATCCATTGCTATTCATTGAGTACTTGGGGGTCACCTGGTAGTCAAGCTGCTCAATCTTAACTGCTTTTATTCCAATCTCAAGCACTAAAATCTATAACACTCAAAACACATATCAAACTTGACACCATTACCAATGTATAACAGAAAGGCTAAGAAAGGGCTAAGGTGGCCACTGGGGCTCAGGAGGCTGAACTGAGAGCAAAAGCAGAAAGCTAATTGGAATGGAGATCACTGTAGGTGGTCAGATAACATTTCAAACCAGTGGAGAACTTGCTCAGGACCCAGAACTGTGCAGCAAGTGGGGACAGAGTGGGGGAGACTGGCAGACAACTTACTCTAGGTCAGGGTCTGGGCAGATGCAGTTTCAGAGTGTCAGCTTGAGGTGTCAAGTTGGAGTGGGCTGTACATTGTCTTTACAGGCAAGAAAAACTATGCCAAGCTGAAGCCCAGAGACAGAGAATCAGAGGTTCACCACTGTGGCAATTTTCCTGGGCAAGGCTCACAGTGACCAGGTGATGGGGTTAGTGTGCCACTGTGTCCAGTCTTGGGGTGCTCCTCCTTTTATTAGTCTCAGGTAAGGGGGTTGCTTCATTTGGTGGTCTGGCATGTTTGATAAGCTTATGGGCCTGTTCTCTCAGATATGGGTTTGATATGCCCATATATCCATGAGTTTCTAACTTAATTTAATTTTGCTGTTAATAATTGGTCATTTTTATTAGCATGATTAACTTATTTATCAGTTTGTACCTTATGCTTATGCTAGGCAGATGGTGATTGTTTACTTGTACCAGCTGGGTAGAGAGTCATTCCACCTCAGCACTCATCCTCAAAGTGGAATAACTCAGGGCAAATTACTGCTTATAAAATGGATAATTCAGGGTTAGGCACAGCCTGAAAACTACTGCTCTGTTCATCATGGAGAGACCCAGAGCCAGGCACATCCTGCTCCCCCATTGCCCACCACAAAAAGTCCATCATATTTTGCTAGTGGTCACACACAGACACAGGCACATATGTGCATAATGAAACCAAAAAAAAGAGAGGTAGAAAACAAAGCTGCATGCAGCAGATGCTGCTCTTTTAATTTTATACTATTTCATTTTAAGGCTGGTAGCAACCCATGACAGTGATTTCACAGATCATGGTTGAAAAACATTGCTTTGGAGTTGTGCAGAGCAGGCTGTACTCCTCGGAGCTACTCTATGATGTACAGCACAGCATTTTTAAGGCTGTACCTAAACCAGAAGCAATGGTTTGCCATATGGTACTCCATTTTGAGTTTAAGGGCTGAGGCGGAATGACTCTACACCTGTGTATACAAGTAAACAACTACCACCTGCCTGGCTCAATCTTAAGGCACAAACCCATAAATGAATTAATTGTGCTAATAAGAATGCCCACCTGTGGACTTACTGAATTAATCAAAAGCATGTGGATGCGTGGATGTACCAAACTCATACTGGGAAAAACAGGCCCATGAACTAACTGAACACACCAGACCACTGAATGAAGCAACCCCCTTACTCGAGGGCCCTATAAGGTGGAGCACCCCAAGCTGGACACAGCAGCCCCCTGGCCTCATCACCTGGTCTCTCATCTCAAGTCTTGCTCAGGAAAATCACCACAGTGATGGACTTCTGAGTCTCTGTCCTTGGGCTTTAGCAGAGTGCAGTTGCTTGTGCCCACGACAACCACGCAAGTCCCACTCCAAGCTAACACTCCACACTGACACTGTGGAATTGCCCTCTGTGTGGACTTTGGCCTAGAATAAGTTCCAGTGCTTTGATAGCTCTGCACCTGGAACAAGTTCTTCCCCAGGTTCCTACTCTTATCTGACCTCCTACTAAGGCTGTTTGCATTCCTATCTGCTCTCTGCCTTGCTCTCAGCTCTGCCTCCTGAGCCCCTGTGGCTGCCTTAACCCTTTATTACCCTTCCTGTAATCTCTATATATAATTGTGTGAAGTGTGATATGTGACCTGAACGTCATAGATAATAGAAATTAAGATTGGAATAAAAGAACCTGTGATTGCCCCGCTTATGATTACCAAGTATCCCACAAGTATTCAGTGAACTGTCACTGATGAAAGTGGTGTAGCCTGTGAATTTATTGTTATTCAAAAAGTGAGGACATTGTGGAAAGACACAGATGGGTTTGGTCTATGTTAATGACATAGCTCACTCACAGCAAGGATTCACATGTACTTAATTCCCATTTAATTCTCCATCTCACCTTCTAAGACAGGAATTGTCCTCCCCATTTTACAGAATAGACAAATGAATCTCAAACTTCATAATCTGGATCAAATTGGTTTTGGTTTATTTCATTTACTTTTTTATAAGAGGAATAAGGACTTCAAAGAATCACACGAAAGAGAAAAATTCCTAGAGGCAAAACAATCAAGGAGAATTTGGGGAAGGTTCCAGCAAGGGGATCCAGGATGGTTCTGGGGAGTATGCAGTTTAAAGCCGCCTGTTGTGAAGGGGTGACTGAAAAGTCTTAACTGGGCCTCTCCAGAAATCTTCACCAAGGCTGATTTTGGGACTGTCAGCAAAAGAGTCTCTGCAAAAGAGTCCAATGTAGATAAACTTCCTATTTTCATGTCGCCCTGTTTACTTGGCCACTGGCAGGGAAGATACCAGCACTCCAGGTGCTGGACACCCCCTTATTAGTTTTTCACAAACATATCCAGTAGAGTACTTTGAAGAAATGTGCAAACAAGGCCTCTGGCCTTGAGCTGGGCTTCACAGAGATGTCTACATTTTTAAGATAAGAGAAGTTACCACTGGGCTCCATGGTACCAGCTGGCAGGGGGAGGAAAGAAAGGGGAGAAGAAGCTCTCCCCTTCTCAGGTGTTGTCCTTGAAGGGTAACTTGCCCAAAACAGTGAAAGAAAAAGCTGCTTTTATGTGAACTTCTGCAGACTGTGAACTTCTGAGCCCCTCCCCTTACATATTGGATATAAAACTCTGAAACTACCTGAACTCGGGGTTCAGGGAATTAATTGATTACTCAAAAGCTGTGCCCTCTGAACCTGGCTGCAGCCAAATAAAACTGTTTCCTGCTACCTTCGGTGCCTTGCCTCGTTTGTCCCTACATCAGTTGCCCTTCCTGTGAAATCTGTCAAAATCTACATGGCTCCCTCCCAGTGGGGCTGGTGAGTGGCTCCTTCTAGAAGGAGCCGGGTCTGTCATCCAGGAGGCCCAAGCCGACTCAGAGAGAACAGAGGTAGTGCTGGAGGCTGGGAGATGCTATGGGGAGATCATAGTCATGAACTTGAAATGCCAGCTCCCACACTTGCCATGGTGGATGACGGGCAGCTATAGGGAAAGAGAGAATAGGCAGTATCTAAATCCAGATCTTTTAGACTGCCAAGGCTGGCCTGGGAAACCTCGACCCGCACTCTACCACCTCCCACTCCATTGTTGAACTGACCAAAGCTCTGTGTCTTCCCCAGAGATGAAGATCAGAGAGAACAAGAGGAGTCAGAGCTCAGCCCAGGGATGTCAGTGGGAAAGGGATATGGCACCAATTTAATTCTTAACACTGATGAACCTTGCTCTTAACTGGACCAGTCAGCTGATTTTAATGGTTATTGTTTCTGATCAATCTTGCTGCAGACATCTGGGCTGGGGCAGGGAGGCTGGGACACCCCCTACAGCCCAGCACAGCCAATGTGACCTCTCATTAGCCACCTGGTCTGTGTTCTCTACCTTTAGATTCCTAAAGAGAGCCAGGAGAGGTGCGTATCTGTTTACAAAGCTCTCAGCAACGATTTCAGACTTTTGCTTTGGTGGCTTTCTGCTTTCTCCAAAGTCAATTGTTCCCGTGTGATAGAAACATGATTGTAGGGCAATGTTGAGAAGCCTGACTTAGATTAGCATCACAAAAGTCAATTAACAAGGCAATTTCTTCCTTTGATTTGTATTTGTATATTATTAATGAACTACAGGACCTCCTAGTGCAGTAAATTAGCCAAGGTAACTGGGGAGCAGAGTACAAACATTTTTCCCCCTTTAATGGCCCCAAACATTTATCTCATACAGAGAAAACTATATACAAACCCAGGGAGGACTCCCTGTTCCTACAGCCAAGGAAGCATGTCAGAGCAGCTCTGATAAATATTGATGTTTGTTTATCGAAATGCCACAGGCCATCCTGGCCAGCTGCCACCCCCTCCCACCCTGGCTGAGTCTTCAGCGGCAGGATTCATTATGCAAGAGATGTAGAAACCACAACTGCCTCTGCTGAACACTTGAGGAAAAAAAAAAAGGTTGGTCCCAGAGAAAGAAGCTACAGTCTCAAAACATACATTCACTGGGGGCTTTCTGCCTTACCAAAATAGTGCGAGTTGGGAGGTCTTAGTGCACTCCCACTGTGTGGCTTTGTTGCAAAATTAATGCCACTGAGAAAGAAACTACATATAAGCTCTAGAGCATTGACATGGACGCATCTATGGTCACACACTTGGTTAGTCACCAAGAAGCACCTACTGTGTACAAGGGAGTGGGAAGGGTACCCTTAATATAATAACCCCTCTCACCTTTATCTAGGCAGCATGGTTCAGCCTCAAAATGATTAGAGACTGCAGGAAAGTATAAATTAATAAGGTCTATGTATTTATTCCTTTAATAAATATTTAGTGCATGCTTATCATGTAGATTCCAGGGACTGGGCACAAAATAGATGGAAAAACACTGTCCCTGGAGGACTCCGGAGTCTTGTTGGGGAGGCAGACAGGTCAGAAGAGCATGATAAGCTGACTCTGATGGAGATGTGTTCCCCAGGCTCCTAGAACACACTGGAAGGAGTGGTCTCTTAGGAATGGCCAAGAAGGTGTCCTGGGGAGAAGCCAGGCACCTCCTCCTCACATCCTCCACTTTTCTCCATGCTGATCGCTGCTCCAGGGTGAGACGCTTACTCCTGCAGGTGGCCTTCTCTGGTCTGGAGGGCCTCAGGTGCACAGGTCTGAGATGGTCAAGTGTCAGATGGAAAAGTCTCAGGTGGGCATCTCCCTGTGCCAAAAGAATCCCATCTGCCTCCTTTAGTAACAAAATAAGAGTATGCAATAGCTTCTCTTTTCAACATTAATTTTTGTTCTGACAAGACCCATTAGACCAGAAGCACCTTTATGCACTATGGATGTGGCTGACACAGAGCCCTGGGACTCTCAACTGGGCCCAGAATTTGATGTGCCCCTTAAAACACTCTGGGGAGATCTATAAGGGGTCAGAGACTGGGTGGAGAAACTCAAGCAGCCTCTTTTACTAGAAGATGACAAAAAAAAGCAGAGCACACCTGCCTGCTGGCCCAGGCCTTCACAATGCCATGGGTGGACTATCAACATTTTATGAGTTTCGGCTGGGCTAGCATAATGAACACCCCTCTCCCAAACTCCACCTCCCTCCTTCACCCAGCGAAACACCCACATACTCTTCAGATCTCAGGGGAAGGTGCCCCCTTGGAGAAGCTGTTCCTGACCCTCAGGCTGTTGCCTGAGCTTATTCGCCTTCACGACACCGAGGTGCCTCTCCTACATGGCCTGTCATAGCTTGCAATTATGCATCAATTTGTGTTATTTTCTTTCATCTCTGCCTGCCTCTCCCAAGGCCATAAACTCCATGTGAGAAACCCAATGTCCAGCTTGTTCATCTCTGTAACCCACGCTTCCAGCTCAAGGCCCAGCACTTGGTCCCCACCCAACAGATTCTCATTGACTATTGAAGCACATCAAGTAATGGGATTTCGCCCCCAGATCCCGTTTCTCCAGTTGTGCCTGGGTTGGATTTCTGTTTGCTTTGAGGCTTTGCTTTGAAGATGGAAAATTTTATAGTCGAAGGCAAAGTCCTTCAACCTCCAATATCTCAGGTACCACTTGGCCTCAAGGAGCTGTGCAAAAGCAACATGTAAAACTAATGAGTTGGAAATTTTATTAAGCTCTGAATCCAAAAGAAGGCAAATATGACCCCAGTAGTAGCATGCATTTGCTGTTTCAGGGAGAAGAATATAATAGGTAAAAATCAATAGGATTTTTGTTCCAGTAGATTAACTTCATGTTTAGAGCAGGAAGAGAATCTAAATGGACAGCTTTTCTGCTGCTCTTCCCCCCTCTGTAAAATGATGCAGAGAGAAGAGTTTGAGGAGACAGGTTAGAAGGCCAAGGACATCATCCCTCCTGCAAGATGTGAGGTTAGATTCTCTTGGACCTGTCACACCAGGGGCGAGTTTAGCCAACTAGTTGTATGCCTCTCAAAACTGTCCTTGCCATTCCAGAACAAACAAGCAAAGGTGTCTGCCAGTGAGCTCCTGATCCCAGACAAATGTCCCCAGACCTGAGAACTCGTCCTTTGGGGAGAGTTCATTATTCCACAGAGGAGAGATCTCATCTCCTCTCCTCTCCTCTCCTCTCCTCTCTCTTCTCTCTCTCTCTCTCTCTCTCTCTCTCTCTCTCTCTCTCTCTCTCTCTCTCTCTCTCTCTCTTTAGATTTTGGCGTCAGACCAAAGAGCCATCTGTTGCTCTGTTAGGCACTTGGAATGGAATGTGATGAAGGTCAAGTTCAAGGTTTGGCTGCATGAAGAAGCAGAGAGAGCCAGCCTGCAGAAAAAGAAGGAAGAAAGACAAGAGAGGAGAAGTCAGGTGTCCCCACATGAAGGAGCCAGACCATTTTCAACTGTCCAGGTCCTGGGCTTCGTCCCTTACAAAATTTCTGTCGTTGGAATCCATAATATACCTTCAAGTCTTCCTGGAAAATCCCTCTCACTATTTTTCTGTTGTCAAAGTTGGTTTGAGTGTGTGACTGTTCCCCATATACTAGCTTCCTGTGACTGTTGTAAAAGATTGCCACAGCCTGTGTAGTTTACAACAGCGGAAACGGGTCTCCCACTGTTCCAGCAGCTAGAAGTCTGAAATCAAGGTGTCAGCAGAGTCACAATCCCTCTGAGCTTCTAGGTGAATCTCCTTCTTTGCTTCCTCCAACTTTGGGTGGCTTCAGGTGCAACTTGGCTTCTTGCGGCTTCATTCCAATCTTTACCTCCATCTTTGTAGGACCTCTTCTCCTATGAGTCTGCTCTTCTCTATCACAAGATACTTGTTGATGGACATAGGGCACACCTGATTAACCAGGACGATCTAGATCCTTCACTTAATTACATCTACAAAGACCTCCCAAGTGAGGTCATATCGATATTAGAACTCAAACATGTCTTTTGGAATGCCACCATTCAACTTGCTACACCCAGAAGCACACTGAGTCCTGAACCTGCCAAGTATTCCTGAATATCCTGGTAAAGTGATACGCAGCCCACAGTAAAAATGGTTTATAGATTCTAAAGGATGGATCGATGAATAAAGCAATATGTGTTGTGTTTTTTAAGGGCAAAGTGTGACCCTTTGGTTTTAAATATTCTGGAATGGAGCCAAGCCCTGCTCTGTCACATTGGAAGTCACTGACTTCTCTAGTCTCATGTATTTGTACTGATGATAATAATTACAGCTTAATGGCTGCCATGATGCACTGCTAGGTGCCAGGCACTTCGAGTGGCTCTTTACATAGGATGTCACATAGAATCTTCACAATGAGCTTCCAGAAGTAGGTTTATTATCCCCAAGAGCCAGACCCAAGTTGGAGCCCGCATGGTGGGTTTCATTCCAGGATGCTCTTTACGGAGACCCAGCATAGTTGAGGACTGTGGGACTATGGTTTTGGCTTCTTCCAAATACATGCTGAATTTGATTCTCCATTGTGATGGAAAAATGGAGATTTGGAAGTGGAAGCTCAAGGAGTGATTAGGTCATTAAGAAGGATTAAAATGGGCTGGGGATGTGGCTCAAGTGGTAGCACTTTCGCCTGGCATGCGTGTGGCCCGGGTTTGATCCTCAGCACCACATACAAACAAAGATGTTGTGTCTGCCAAAAAACTAAAAAAATAAATATTAAAAAAAGAAGGATTAATACCTATCTCACAGAACTGGATTTGTACATGTGAGCAAGTTGTTATCAAGACAGGCTACCCCTCAGATTTTCTCTCTTTCACATGTGTACACTTGCCTTTCTGACTTCCACCATGTTATGAAGCAGCATGAGGCTCTAACCAGATAGGATCACCCAATCTCAGACTTCCTAGCCTCCAGAACATTGAGCTAAAATTAACCAATTTCTTTTAAAATTTACTTAGTATTAGGTATTATGCTAGAGCAACAGAAAATGAACTCAAACATGTGGGCAGAAACCACAATGTGCCAACTTTTGTGTTTGGTGCTTCATGTCTGTTATCTCATTTGATCTTTGTAGCTCCTCTGAGATGAAGCTGATGCAGAAGTCTTATCACACTAGCCATGGATGCTACCCATGTTTGCTATCTGCAGAAGTCTGTAGGACAAAGAACCAGGCTTTCCAGTTTCTCAGGCCCCAGGGGACCACCCCTCCAGGTCTCCTCGCAATAACTTAAGGAAACATGACACAGATACACTCCAGAAAGGCAACTACAAATGTTGGGTGAGAAAATAGCCCCGGGATTAGAATATTCTTCTTGTAGAAGAAGCTACTAATGCTAATTTCCAAATTGTGGGTCTGGATGGGAATGGAAGTGAGGCAGCCTCCCCTGGCACAGGTCTCAGTGATTTTCCCACCCCAATCCTAGGAGGGGACTTCCTTTCAAAAGCCCCACGCTAGTCTCACAGTTTCCTTCCTCCTCCTTATTGCCACTTCCTCAAGTGTTGAGGACACACAACTCAGATCAAGACCACAACCTTCCTTCTTCCCTTATTGCTCCCCACATAATTCCATCTACAGAGTCATCCAAGTTGGCCCCCAGGATGTCCTCCTCATTCAGTTTTGCCTTCTGCCTCAGAGCCATCTGTCATCATGTTCAGCCTATCTGTTCCTTCAGCGTCTTCCTCCCCCTAATCTCCGACTGTTGTGGCCCTGGATATGGCCCCAGGACTCTGGTCTCCACACTTCTGTCAGGTCTTGGTTTGTTCTTCTTGCTCCTTTGATTTCAACTCTGTGATTACGCTTCCCCCCCCCCCCATAAACCTACAGCAGGGGTTTTCAAAATATGTCCAGAGGAACCCTGGTTAATGAGTCTTGGGATTTTCATGGACCAGTAAAGAAATTACAATTGAGTTTTGAACAAATTAGGAGATAGAAATGAAAAGATCGCCTTTATCACTGATAAAGTTATATTGAAGAACATGGCTTAAGTCTGACCAGACAATTTGTGACACTTCCCTGAACAAAACCTCACATGCTCTAGGCAGTACCACATTTCTCCTTCTTGGGAAGTGACTGTGCTTTGAGAACAGGGTCCCCAGGTCTGGATGGAGAAGCATGAGTTAATTGTAGACCCAGGAGTTAAGTGTGTGCCATGGAATACTAACCTTGAGAAGGGATGGTCTGGGAAGAAAATTTAGAAATTGGGAAGAGAATTTAAATGGTCAAATGCCTTTAGAGAAAACAGTACACCACATCTCCCTTGACATAAGCATATTTGAGGCTCCTAGGTCTACAGGGAAGAGAGTAGACAGACCTTGCTTACTAGAGCTTAGCCCACTGTTCCCCCAAATCATGTGGCAAAAAATTCCTTTGGGAGTGGAGCATCTTAGGTTTCTTTGTGAAAGAAACTCCCTCCGAGGAAGGCTGTTGACCTCTCTCTGCCCCATGAGAGGAGGAAAGGGAAGAGTGATATATGTGATTGGAGAATGAAGGGTGGGAGCTCTGGCTCCTCTCCTCTTTCTTCAGCTAGGGTTTTCCTAAGCAGATCTTTGTTTTTCATTTTTTTGTGCAATAACATACCATACCCTGAAGTTTCTTCTAAATTTTTTTTTTGTTTTGATTCTGCATTAATAATGCCAGTAGAATGAGCACTAGGCATGCTTTACTTTAAAAGCTTATGACTAGGATAGAGAGAAAGGAATTCTTCATTTTCTAAGATAAATACAAATTTTTCAAGCTTTTTGTGTGACCTCTGAGCCCTAAAACAAGGGCTTTGTAGGTTGGGGTACACGAGGCCATTTGTACTGGCTTTATGGTAGAAAGTGGTATGCAATCCTCTCAAGGATTCTTTGTAAAGTAGAGTCATGTGGAGCAGTTTCAAAACAGAAGACTCCTAACCTTCATGTTGCACTGGACGCATGGGTCAGCATTGTTCATTCCTAGTATTAAATGTACTAGGAAATTGCTCGTGGTCAAAAAGACAGTTTGGCTCCTCTTCATTAAGAAAGGGATCCCTTCCAATCCATCCCTGTGGAATTTGGAGGCAACCTAGCAACATGCAAGAAGGAAGGTCTGCCAGCTAAGCAATTTTGTGGAAAGGACTCAACCCCCATCATTCTAGGGATGCTCTTGATCACTCCCATGCTGATGGGAATGACTATAAAAAGGCATGTGGTCTAAAATGGGCAGGATCGATGTTCTTAGGCCAGCATTTGGTCTGTGTTCAGTCCAGAGATATTTTGGTCTGAGCCAGGAAGTGAGACGGTGAGGGTAAAAACATCTGAAAACCATGAGCATCTTCCACCTATTGATCCAAAGGTAGCAGAGGAGGTCAAGAGCCCAAGTGTGGTTTGAGGAAAGTGGCTTTTGGGCAAATGAGAACAGAAGCTTCTAGGGGTTGAGTGAGAGTCTAGGTCAACTTCTATAGAGTTCCAGGAAAAGAGGAGTTTTGACAACTAGGGGCTTATTTAACCAATGCATTCAAGCATTCGAGAAAATTCAGTCCTCATAGGGATGTTTAAAAAACATACATGTATAGAGTCCTGCAAGACTCTTCTTAATCAACCTATCCCTGTTAATGAATCCAACAGTCATTAATACTTCTTTCCAGTTTGTAAAAGAATGACTTGCCCACAGACGTGCCAAAACTTTCAGGATTATTGGTTAGAAAATTTGAGGTGTTTTTCTCCCCTAAGGAGTTTATATATACCAAAAGGATCCAAATCATTCATTTGACACATGTGAAATTCCTGGGCATGGAGCTATAAAGACAGATAAAGTTGTTGTCCCTGCCTTCAAGGAGCCCTAATTGTAGTGACAAGCATCTTAGGAAATGAAAGAACCCTATGGAGTGACAGAGCATTTTCAAGAACAAAGACGGAATCTGACAGGGAGGTAGAGGCAGTCCATTAGAGCAAGTGCTGGTGCAAAGGCACAGAGGTACAAAGTCTTATCATTCAAGGGGTCATTGATAGTCACTAGGATGAAGAGAGAAGTGGACAGGAAGACATGTAAGATGGAGGTGAAGAAGCATAGGGAGAGACCAGGTCTTCCAGGTATTAATTCAGATAGTTACTGAGTACGTACTATGTACCAGGCAGGTACTGTTTGATATAGCAGTGAGTAAGACAGATGTAGTTGCTGTCCATATGAAGTTGCATTTTGGTGGGATGAGACAAAGAATAAAAAAATAAACAAACATAATTTCAGATGATAATGAGTGCTATAAAGGACATAAACAGGGAGATGGGGGTCTGGAAGCATTGTAGAAAGCATGACTGAGATGGTCACTCTGGGTCAATGACTTTTGCAGACTTGAAGAATATGAAGGGCAAGAGATAAGGATGAAGGCAATGAACCTGGAGGTGTCTATCATTTAGGGAACAGAGAGAGAAACAGGAGGCAGCAAAGAAAACAAGAAAAAAAATCATCTGAGATTCAAGACATAAGTTGGGAGAGGGTGGAGTAATGGAACTCCAAGGGGTGGGGGAGGGGAAAGAATATGAAGAAGGAGAAAGGCCTCTGCTACAGACATTCACCTTTTACTTTGTCTTTTAAAATAGATGGTCATCAGATTCCCAGGTAGAGACAGCAGACTTATACCAAGCATCTAACATTTCTCCTTATGAAATATAACTTGCATATCCCACAAGGAATATTTGATCATAAAAAAGATCCAAATACAGCCACGTGAAACAACATGAGTGAACCTTGAAAACATGGCAAGAGCAAGAAGCCACAAAAGACCACATGTATGGTTCCTTTTATGTGGAATATCCAGATTAAGAAAATCCACAGGGTCAGAAAGTGATTATTTGGTTTCTGGGTTGGGAAGGAACAGGGGAGTGACTGTTGATAGGTATAGGTTTCTTCTTAGGGTGTTGAAAAGTTCTAAAATTAGACTGTGGTGATGCTGACACACTCTGAATACATTTAAAACTGGAGAAATTTACATTTTCAAAGGATGAATTTGATGGAATACAAAAAATGCCATTAATCATAATGATATTGTCAATATTTTTGTAACACTACAACATGTTTCCCCATTTTATGACTCAAGGCCCTGCAGGCACTTTTTCAACTTGCCTTAACCCTGCAAAGCTCGTTGATCTTCAAAAGATGAAGTAAGCCAACATTTTGTAATGAAAGGTTCTCTAAAGTTCAGTAGTTGGGTTTGTACACAATTAGAAAAGTAGGTCAACAAACATTGCTTTTTAATATCTTATAATAACACTGTAACACACACTTATTAACTGTTTATTTGGGGTTAATAAGATTTTTTTGTCTTTTGTGGTGAACCAGAAGAATGGTTACCAGGGCTTCCACTGAATTTTTGTTTGCTAATATTGATTATCTGGATCTTTGTTGGGTGAAAGGGAGCAAGAACTGGTGTGTCGTACAGGTTACAAGGTCAGAATCTGCACACAGACACACCTGGCTTGGAATACTGTCCTTGTCTTTTAGTAGCTGTATGACCTGGTGCAAGCTACAAAGACTTTCAGAGCTTGCATTTCCTTCTCTGCAAAATGGGAATTCTATATTTACTTCAGTTTTTATTTGAAGATCTATCTATTGTATTCATAGGAATTGAACTGGGAATTGAACCCTGGGCCTCATACATACTAGGTGAATGTACTACCTCTGAGCTACACCCTCAGTCCCATTTTTTAAAAGGCTGTTAGTAGGCATCAATGAGTATTCCTGACTTAAGTATTGGCATTTTCTGCAGAACAAGATCTTATCCTTCTTTCCCATTAGCTGTTTCATCTTGATGTGTTTATTATTAAATTACTCATCAAAGTTCTTTTCTGAGAGTTTGCTATCAGTCAGGAAATGAAGAACTAAAGCCCTTGATTGCCAAGTATGAATTATTTTATTGCATGGGGCTGTTTTCCTCTTTTGCAGAAGTCAGAGCCGGAGAGAGCTACTGAGCTACTGCACCCCACCCTTCGACGCGTGGTGGGCCGAGAGGAACAGCGTAGGCAAGAGGCACCGCACATTCCCTCAGCTCCCACTTGCCTTTAAGGCCCCACTCATTCCAGAGATTCCTGGGAGGCTAAGCAGAAGAGTTTGCTTACAGAGCTCACACCCCAGAGACCTGTCAACCCTGTCCAGGGGCCTCCTTTCTACACCACCCTCAGCAGACCTGGGCAAGAAAAGAGAGATCCCTGACCTTGATGACCCTCCAACTTCACACACTCACACACGCACACACACTAAAGAACCTGTGTGCCTGTCACTTGGGCTCTGATAGCACTAGCACATCACAACCCCTATCCTAAGCATCCATTCTTCAGTCCAACACTGCTCAGGCCTCAGGGAACATTTGTCACATATCTTTCCTTTTGTTTTCTACCAACCCCAAATGCCAGGAAGTTTGTGGACTGTTCCTGCCCACATCAGAGATGGAAACTGCTTCAGAGGGCTGAAATGGTTGGAGCCCTGAATAAAAAGAAAGGCAGATTAATTTGTCAATCCCTTCCTCCCAGAGAGCGTTAATGAAATGGATTTTGGGATAGCCCTGTCATTGCCGGCATGCTGATTTGTCTTCTTTTTCTTCGATTTGTGTTCCATTTGCGATTCCTAAAGAACTCATAAGTGGGGCTGGGGATGTGGATCAAGCCGTAGCGCGCTCGCCTGGCATGCATGCGGCCTGGGTTCGATCCTCAGCACCACATACCAACAAAGATGTTGCGTCTGCCGAAAACTAAAAAATAAATATCAAAATTCTCTCTCTCTCTCTAAAAAGAAAGATCTCTCTCTCTCTCTCTCTCTCATAAAAATTCTCTCTTTAAAAAAAAAAAGAACTCATAAGTTGGCATTATCATGAATGTATGCACATGGGTAGTTGAAAAATATACAATGGGGCTGGGGTTGTGGCTCAATGGTACAGCACTTGCCTAGCACGTGTGAGGGACTGGGTTCCATCCTCAGCACCACATAAATAAATAAATAAATATATTGTGACAATCTACAACTAAAAAATATTTTAAAAAATATATAACATTATTAAAAAGCTCATATTACTCAGATACATTTGTAAGCCTGGACTTAATACAAGTCAAAAAAGATACTGATCATTTATATTGGCAGCTAAGTTAAGAGAATGAATGCTACAATTGTGAAGAGCTTACTTTTTTTTAATATATATTTTTTAGTTGTTGATGGACCTTTATTTATTTATATGTGGTGCTGAGAATCGAACCCAGTGCCTCACACATGCTAGGCAAGCACTCTACCACTGAGCCACAATCTCAGCCCCAACAGTTTACTTTTATGAAAATTTAAAATTGTTAAAAGTTTAAGTAAAAGCCACAGATGTACTTAAATATTTTTTACTTTAAATAATTTAAAAATATTATTTCTATATAAATAATCTATATATAGTTGTAGATGAGCACAATGCCTTTATTTATTTTTATGTGGTGCTGAGGATCAAACCCAGTGCCTCACATGTGCTAGGCAAGCGCTTCACCACTGAGCTACAATTATTTAATTATAGATTAAATAATTTTACATGTAAATTTTACATTCATTAATTATAATTTCTACTTTGCCTTTTAATGATAATAATTTTCATGTTTTAAAAAATAAAATTTCTTCTAAAACATTCAATTTTATTTCTACATTCACTTTCATTTTACATTTTGATGGAAATATATTCCAATTTGATACTTTTTAAATACAATTACATGT